ATCTTCTGTAGACAAACTATATATTATTTACAAAATACACTACTAACAATGAATAGCTACTTAGACAATTTTCTGCCAATAAAATCTTAATATAATATGAATCAAAAATGACACTTATTGAATGGCTGGTATTTACTATGTGTCGTTTTAGCCCTGCTTCAAGCACAACACGTATCGTATAGCACTGTTTATAGTACCTGAGGTCTTATTCAAAACCTTGACTTTTGGTACCGGGTACTATTCATGGATCCAGTGATTTCATTGGTAGAGAAAGAGATACTTTATGTGGTAGGATATTATTTTCGGGGATACTATAAGCAGTGCTATTGTACACGGACATTGTCCCGCTAATGTTACGAGGACACGGACAGTCCGGGACAATGTCCTATGTCCGCAACAATGTCCCGACATGATATTGTACACAGACAATGTCCCACTAATTTTTAACTTTGTCTCTACTATGTCCAGGACATGTTCGCCGGGTAAAACCAATCAAATTGCTGAATTATACAGATCAGGGCTTAAAATCCTACAGTGGCAGACAGCTAAAGATATCCAATTTTATTAGTTATTTTATAAATGGTATAACTTGACAAAAAATTATTAAATCAAAAAATCCTCTTACAAATTGATAGTTTATAACCCAAACTATATTTTTGTAAGAGGATTTTCTTTTATTTTTATTTTTAACAGTGTTATAACAGTTTAAACTTTGTTATTTTATATATAAATCAAAAATTTGGCACTAATCTACATGCATAAACATGCATAAGCCAATAAAAATTAATTATTTTTATATTACATTATCCTAAATTTGGCATGTCTTAGTAAAAAGTTACATATGGGCTAATCAGAGACATTGGCCCTAGACAGCAGTACTAAAATCACTTTGAACTCCATAATTAATCATTTTTAATTGGTCAGCTATACAGAACAATTGCTCAATAAATACCCTAAGTAATTTACTTAAAACCCTAAAGAATTCAAGGATATAATAGATATGCAAGATAATATGTCAAACCCATTAGTCTCAGCCCAAAACTCATTAGTTCAAACCTTATAGAGTCAGGCCATTACATATATATATATATTGTAAACATTAAATTTATCTTCACCTATTTTATGATATACAATTGGTGCAGTACAAGTGTTGTAAACAAAACTAATAAATTTTTTATTGATTTTAAGAGCAAATTCGTCAGCATTTTATAGATTTCTCAAAATATATAATTAATATAAGTAATGCATTATTATAATTAGTTCTTGTTGAACTATATATTGTAACACTATAGCATTTCTTAATATCAACTTCCCTATAAATAAATTCTGATGTAACAAGTATTTAAGTTTGATTTTTTAATTTTGAGTAATTATATCTAGAATTTGTTCTTTACTAGTAGCTTGGCTTTTTTTAAATACTAAATTTTTATCCATTAAAAAGTTATCATCTATGAATTTAATTATAACTTTTTGTAGTACTTGGTCATATTTTATCTTTTCTATGATGTTCTGTTTATCTTTAGTAATAGGTTGATCATATACCACCTTTTTTATATTCTTTCTATATTTTGTGATAGGTGGATCATACGTCATCTTCTTTATATTTTTTCTATATTCTGTAATAGGTTGACTATATACAATCTTCTCTATATTATTTTTATAATTATTGATATATTGTCTTATAGGTAGTTTTTTTTTTGGATGGAAGCCTTCATTTAGATAGTATTTTTTGAGTAGAAAAAAGTATATTTAGATAGATATTTAAAGAAATGTGATTTAACTTTTTTTATCAATCTAATTTGTATAAAAAATAGCATTTTAGTATTATTTATATAAAGTGCTTATAGGCAGAAAATTGTCTAAGTAGCTATTCATTGTTAGTAGTGTATTTTGTAAATAATATATAGTTTGTCTACAGAAGAT